CTCTTCACTAACCTACTCAAATTTTTAGGCCGTAAATTTACGGCCTTTCGCCGTCAAAGAGTTAACAAAAACAATCAGAAAAGAAATTTATCGTGTACCAAAAAAATGATCTTGTTCGCAGCATCAAAACTTAGTCACACAGAATTTTGTTCATTTTGAGAAAAAAGTGTAACTATAGGGTAAGTTGTTCTTTGTAAATTGTAGAGCTTTTCATGCTGCATCTTGTGATGTATTTTTTTTTTTTTTAACATAGCGTATTAGGCGGTGAAAACAATGAATCGAAAAAAGGAACTTCTTTTTGTCCGAGGAAGATTCTTGAATGAAAAGTGCATCTATTTGGGGATAGAGTCTAATATTCATTGTTGTTGATAATATTAGTGTCACTTATCTGATTCTAGTGTGTTTTTTTCTTGAAATTGGTTTGGAAGCAACGTCGTCGATCTTTAGATTCAGTGTTCGTTGGGATGTGCATCTGTATATTTGATATGTGAATATTCGACAAGTTCTGCGAAGACTGGAGAAAACAGTCCGACAGCACCAGAGAATTGTGGGTGTGGATGTATGAGAAGAAGAAGAAGATCTGAATCCACAGCATCTACACCCTAATCATTTCTAAGAAAATTTTGAGTATTGTATTTTTCATTTTTCTCACAAACGATCGGACTTTTTCTCAAAAATAGCTTACGATGTATGAATATACATAATACAAAATTTCTTAATTGAAAAAACTACTTAACTAATTTCTTGCTTACGTCATTTTACATTTATTTCTAGAATCACATGATTGTAAATTCGTACTCTAATTTCATTCACATGAGCTATATCTGATGCGTACTTGAGTTCTTTTTCTTTCTTTAATCACATTTTCGCTAGAAATCTTATACAAACGAATATAAATAGTACAAAAAATTTAATATGAATAGAAACCGATCAAAGAATTTTGATAGAAAAAGAAAACTCGAGATCATTGAAAAAATTTCAGTATATTTTCCTTTCTCATAAGAAGAGTTTCGAAAAGTCAAAAATAAAAGAGATGTGGTATAAGGTTTAGCAACTCAAGAATCAAGAGATCTTTTAATATATTTTCAATCAGATTTTTTTGTAAATTACGAAAATCTTATGAAACACTTGTCGATGGTAAAAATTTCCGCACGCGCACCCACATCACATATACTCTATCTTATCTTAACCCATATTCCCACCCTTTAGTCATATTGAGATTCACAGTACACAAAGGCGTGCCAATAGAGATGCTAGTCATATGCATACAATTGCATGAGATAAGACGTACATAACTATCTACTCAGCTGACAATCTTACACATTTAATTGCAGGACAAAGTAGTTTGTTGCCATATTTTATTTATGGTTTTTTTTAATGTAGCCACCGTGCTGAATGATATTCAAGTGATATTTTATAGAATACTATCTGAGGATTCTAGTCTGTAATAGCTAACTATCGTAGCTTCTACCAACGGTAAAGACGTTAGTGGATGCGATATTCGTTGAGTCGAACAACTATATCTTCAAAGATTCAGATATTCAAACATTTTGTACTGCATGAGGATCCATGAGACACTGACCAGTGAGCATCATACTGTCATGACATGAATGTTTGAACATCTGAATTCACCCAAGTCAGCCCATGCGCTATTGGTACGGGGTACGGTACGTTTGTGCGCATTGGTGCACCTAGTGTCACGAATGACGTTACGCGTACTGTTGTGTACCGATGTGTTCATCACTAGTTCGCGTGACGTGATATCGCGTCCAGTAGAGAGGCCGTCTGTTCACATAAATGGTACCAAGAACAAAGGAGTATCTATAATTTATGATGGACGTCCTTTTTGTAAATAGATTAAAAAATATAAAGCAATCAGTTTTTGTCATACGAAGATATTTTATACATACATATTAATATTTAACTTATTTTTTTATTTTTTTTGGAATATATATTGAAATATGTAATTTATTTTTTTTATAATTTTTTTAGAATATACATCAATTTATCTTTTTTTTTTTGAATATATATTAAAATATTTAATTTATTATTTTTATAATTTGATTTAA